GGACGGGGATCCTTTAAAAAAAGTCATATGGCAGTAAATAAATTGATATTTTTATCTCACTTTCCTCCTTAAGGATCTCAGTGCAGCAAACATTTTTGCCTCCTTACCCTATTTCTCAACAGCCCATGCTTAGGCTGTGGAAAGAGTTTATCCAGTGTGTCTGGGGAAAGAGATAGGCTAGGTAGGCTAGGGTTCCCAGAGGCTGAGCAGGGCTTTGAAGCTGAGCTTTGCCAGTCCTCTTCCAATATTCTTCACCATGACATGAAGCTGCCTTTCTAAGATGGGCCAAGGTTGGGGAGCTATACCTGCTTGTTCTGGCCAGTTTCTTATGTCATCTGTGACTGTCTAGAGCAGGGCTCTCAAACTCAGCTTACCTAGGGGCCGCTGGAAGTAGAGGCTGGGTGAGGCTGGGCCGCATCAAGGATTCCACCACCGCGGGGGTGGCGAGCCGCTCATCCCGCGTCGCTCCCGGAGGCCGGCCGGGCGCCATCGGCACTTTGAAGGCCGCAGGGCCCCTCCCCTGTGCCCCGCCCCTCCCAGCAATTGGCCCGCGGGCCGCGCGTTTGAGACCCCTGGTCTAAAGCATATAAGGAGAAAACCAGCTTGGAGAAGGCTGCCTTGTTGGCAGTGCTGGCTCGAGCTTTCGAGGGCCTTTCAGCAAGATGCCGTCAGTGGTCCCCGCTCTCAGTGAGTCTCCCCTCCATTCTCAGAAGCTGCCACTGCCTCTTCCTGTCTTTCATATCATCTGCTTGCCTGACAAGCCAAGAGCTAATAGGCCATGGTGTCTCTTCTCATCAGTGCCATTGTCTGGGCCAAACCAAGGACAAACCAAGGACAAGCAAGTCGCAACAGGGAAGAGTAACTCCAGAGGGTTCTCTTCTGTGGGCCCCTTCTATGGTGTGGGCCCCAGCACATGCCCAGGATGACTACCCTTGGGACCAGCCCTGTTTATGAGCTTCCATAAAGTTATTCACAAACCTGCAAGTTTTCATTCCCTGGCTTTCACTTTCCACTTTCTTGTCATTTCCTCCGAGCTTGCTGTGTATGGAAGCCTGGGAGCTAGCTGGAGTGGCAGTGGATTGCTTTCAGTGTGCATATATTCTGAACGAGACGGCTGTTCCGATGGGGTGGGGACCCTCAGGTCTGAGGACTAAAACTGGCCCACCCTGAAGGGCCTTGGCCACACACTGGGATGATCTCCTTCCTCACCACCTTTGTCGGCTGCTGCTGCTGCTGCTGCTCCTCATCCTTTTCCCATCACTGCTGCCACTTGCCCAGCACAGGGGCAAGGGGCATCCAAGCCACAGCCATTCTTGCTGCTCCTTCTCCTCGCCACTGTTGTCTGGGCTGGGCTGAAGAAGAGAGGCAGGGTCTTGGCAGGTACCCAAGCACATCTGTCTTTGGATCTGGCAGACCACCCAGTTTAGGATGTGGGGGGGGGAGGATGTGTGCATGCGCCATTTTGCATGCCTCCCCATATGAAGAAATCCTTGCAAAAATTGAAATTACTAGGACTCCAGAGCATGCCTGGGAGAGAAAGGTTCTGCTCCGTGCCAGTCTCCCTGCATGGTAGGCTTCTGGTTGGAATGTCGATGTATTTAAATGCAGGAATAGGATCCCTTCCACTGAAGTGTGAAGTGACACAATCCATTCTGCCAGTGCAGAGCTCTAGCATATGATTTAGCTGCATCTGTGGACCCAGCCTCTGCCGCAGCATAGAGAGGGTTAGAAGCATCCTACAATTGATAAGAGCACCTTGAAGTCTTCTTTCGATTGTTCATCCCATCATCATCCTTGCAATTAAGCCCAAGTTTGCCACAGCGCGGCAGAAAGTAGGTTAAATGGGGGTAAATCTAGGAGCTGAATTACATACTGGTCTAGGGATCAAACAGACTCTTTGCATGCTCCTGGCAACAGTGGTTCCGCTCTTTGTAGGTTGACAGAAACAGATAGTATCCCAAGATGGTTACATGCTTGGACAATTCCCCTTTCTGTTTCTAACCAAGCAGGGAACTTGTTCAGGCATGACATTCAGAGGCTGAATGGTCCTTCAAGCAGCATATTTTGCAATTTGTTGATAGAAGAAACAAGACAGAAATAAATCTTCTTGTGTGTGCTCTTGACACAGAATGGAATAGGAAGTCTTTGATATATATATATATATATATATATATATATATATATATGTTATCTATATTTTCAAAGCCTCCTCATTCTGTTCTGTGTCAAACACATGCACAAAGAGATTTATTTCTCTCCTGCCTCATTTTCACACTTTTTCAGTAAATTGCAAAATATAGTGTTTGGAGGATCATGCATTGTAATTGCATCCTATTAGTCATGTGGTGGAAGGGGTTTAAAGAATCTTGTTTTATAGGTTGTTTCATTTTGCATTAGCAACAAAACATTGGAAATGATAGGATATAATTTTCAGGTAAGTTTCCCTGCTGGGAAACATATGCTCCAACCTTGAAAAGCAAATCCACAGCCAAAAGGCTGGTGTGTAAATAAACCCCCCTGTGCCTCAGAACTTGATCCTGGCTTCAGGAAATGTTATTGGCATCTAGCAATTAGCTGTTCCATTCCTGCTTGTCAGAAACCAGCATTAGTTATTCTCAAGATATCAGCTTGGTTAGAAATGACACCTGTCCCTCCTCCTGCACAAGTTTCCCATCTTCCTGCTTGCTCATTCTACTTCCACCATTGCTGCACATTCGCAGGTGCTTGTCTGATTGCTGAGGAAGTAGCTGCAACATAGATGCCAATCCTACCCTCAATCTTCTGTATTTGCAAAACTACATTTGTAGTTTAAGGTAAGGCAAGATAATGTGGGTGCATTGCCTCTACCTTGAAGGATGTCCCTCATGATATTCAGCCTGGTTGACTGGTGGGTTGGTTAACTCTGTTTGCATAGCAGAAGGTAGCCACTTCTTCCATAGCTTACTGGTACAGCACATGTTCTGCAGAAGATCTTCCACTTCTTCCCATAAAGGAACCTGGATTTCCAAACTGGGAAAGGCTTTTGCCTAAGACCTGGGAGAGACACCCCTAGTCAGTAGACAATACTGGGTTTGAAGGACCTGTGGTCCCTCTTGATATGACAGCTTCAAATACCACCTGGCTTGTGTGATTTGGTCATTGACATGATTCAGAAATATTGCGGTGGGTTTGAAAATCTGTGCCCAATCGGGGTTCAAGAGGCTTGGCGCTAATGTTATTGAAAAATAAAGGGGATATTTATGGTAATTTTGAAGATGACTGGGAAACCTTAAACATAGATTTAAAGCTCTACCAGATTAGACAGAAGTCAGTTTACAAAATACTAAAATTCTCCTCTTGCAAGTGCAAGAAAAGTAAATTGCGTGTATTGTGGTTCTGGTACTTTACATGTCGATGGCGATGGGCTGTGTGAAGAAAGGCTTGTACCCAGTTAGGAAAAATGGAGTTGCTTACTTTTCCTGCATAGCCCTTCACAATATTGGAAGTCATCCCTTTGATTTAGCAATGTCATTTTTAAGTGTAAGCATGGATGTGTGTGTGTGTGAAGTGGTAATTCAGTTCTCTGTTAAAACATAGTGATAAAGTAAAAATCCTGCTGGATCATACCAAGGATGTGTCTGGCCAGGCATCCAAATTTGGTTGGATAACATTCTCAGCTTAAAATTGCCTAAATCCCTGAGGGGACAATTGAATTCTACAGATCCTTCCTGCAATATTGAGCTGGATATATGAATGCTTCCATAGGTACATCTTCAGCAATCATATATAAAATAAAATTATTGATAGCAAAAGTGTCTTGTGTGTGAAGAAAAAAACATTCACAGCACTTCAGTGAGAAAGGAGGAGCTTGTCTAATGGAAAGGGAAGTAGTAGAGCTTCCAGCGTTTGGAAACCTATCAGGAATGTTTGGTTAAAAGAACACAGCCAAATCGGACTAACTCCAGATTGACTGCCAAATAATCCAATTTTATAAGGCATAGCACTTGAAAGGAGCATCCAGATAACTTTTGAAAACCAAAGGTTGACTCAGCTAATTGCAAAGAAACGTTTAGGTCAAGAAGAGCGAACCGCAATCACTTGCTCTACTGGCACCGCTGTAAAAGAACACACAAACTCTGCCCATAGAAACAAAATTAATGCACTGCACTGCAGTCTTACAATTGGTGATAGAAAGAGCCATGATGTAGGAAGCTGTTGATTAGATCTCCTGATGTTTTACTTTTCAGAAACAAACAACAACAAAGCCACCTCTGAGAGTAAGTGTGGGTGATTGGAGGGAGAGAGATTGGAACTGGGCAGTGATGCAGTGCAGGGAAAGGGGGGTTTAAGCCTTCTTCAACCACAATTGTCTTGACTGAAATGGCTCTTGAAGCTGCTCTTCCATTCTCTTCTCCCTGGATGCACATTCAGCATCCAGAGAACAATTATTTTTCCTTCCATCGTGGAAACAGCAAATGCTAAGATGCTTTTCCTCTTAGTGCTGTGATCCCAACCCAGTTGAAGTTTCCTCTCCCCATGCTTCCCCGCCATACCCATTCTAACACTCTTAAAGCTCACTGATTTCCTGTCTTGCACATGTCTTGGCCCTCTGGCTACAAAACGACCTGCCTGCAACAAGATTCACTAGTCATTTACTCTTAAGGGAATTGGGCGGAAGGCACAGCATCTGTCTTTACGGTGCTAGAATGGATTTTCTTTGCAGCTGCTTGGACAAACAAACATGCAAAGTGTGACCTTTTTATATTGGGCTGACATTATTGACAGATTTTGTCAAAGTTGCTTCTTCCTGGAAGGCTCCAAACAAAAAGTGCTGGTGCCAGACATAGCCTCCTCTGGGGCTCTACCAAGTGGACAATGTAATGCGAAAGGTCTAACATCTCTCCCAGCTTGTGTCCGCAGATGCTTTGGCATTGATCCATTGGTGTCTTATATCTTCCAGCAACAGAAACCAGTGACATGGTTCAGAAAACTTACCATTTCTCTCTTCTTTTAATTATTAGAGCCTGTCTGGGTAAGGCATGATGCTCTTTCCTGCTTGAGGTGACCAGTTTTTCATGGTGAATTGTAAAAGAATGTGGATTAACCGAGTTCCCTGCTGTCTATTGGCAGTAGCACATCTGTATCTCCTGAACCACTTGGCCCACAGTCAAGAAACAGGTTGGTACAATTTGATGCCTCTTGCCATCTGTTTAGTGTTGTGGTCGCTTGACTCTTTGTTTTGCTGTAATATATAACACATTGTTTAATATATGTACTGTGTATTGTTTATTTATATTAGAACATGAACGATCAAAGTTTTTAATGATATTTCAGCTTGCCTTGTGCATTTAGAGAGGCAGGGTAGATGTGTGACAAACCATGAATTAATTTGTTTTTGATGGGGCTTCATGTATTCTGCACTCATCTGGCACATTTAATGAAAGTGGTTCTTGCAATCCTGAAGGAATCCATGGCTTTCTTTCCTTCTTAAAGTTGCTATGCTTTAAAATCTTGAAAGAGTGTAAAAATGCGAGGTGTCAGGATTTTTTAAATAATGTGGTGGTGGTGGTGGTAGATGGTTGTGATAGTTTACTTTTAATTGGCAGGGAATATTTTTTCAGTGAAGTCTCAATCTTCACCGTATGACTAGATGAAGGAAAAAGGGAATTCTATAAAGCAGTCCGATTTCTAAGATTCATGCAAGTTTTCAGAATTCTGGTGGTCTGGATATAAAACTAGAATTATCTTGCTCCATTTTTAAGGCATAAATTTACAAAACTGACTGCTATTTCCATAGACGTTCCAATCCAATGGTACACCTCTTTAAATTGTATAACCCCACATAATTTGCATGTTTTGCACATATATCAGTTTTTATAAGATGCTTTGAAAAATTTATTTTATAAAGCATTTAACAAATTTTAGTAAGTAAATCATCTGCAGGGTAATGCAGCAATGCAGGTGGTGTGGAGGCATAATATAGGAAGTATATGTGTGCATACAGAAGCTGAATCATTCCCGCAACTCCACTGTCTCGTCTTTTCTTCCTACAACCTCTGTTGCTTTTCTGATATATTCTTAGTGGAGGAGTCTAACTGGAAGACAGCTGGACTCAGTGGCAGCCAGGAGGAGAACCTTGCATGCTGTTGGAGTAAACTTTAAAGACATGGCTTTGCATCTGTCATGTGCAATTTGCTAAAAAAAAACAAAAAAACAAAAAACTCCACTGTGGGAAATAGCTTGGGAATGGATGAGTTGGGTGAGCTGCATCTTTCTGCTCCAAATCCCTGCCTCACAAAGCTGCAATGAAAGCAGTCAGGGAAAGGATATCACAGGGAAAGGAACAACCCTGTGACACTAAGGACTCTCTTCCATGTGAATATATCTAATGTGAAATCAGCCCCTTATGCAGCCTAAAGATTATGGGCATGTGCTTCCCACACACTCTCCCTTTTGCCTGCTTTCTCTAGGTAGCTCTGGTGGGTTGTGGGAGAGGCACATGAGACAGCTGTTCAAAGCTTTCCCTATGGAACAGGCTAGGATAGCGTTGAAGAGCACTGGAATTAAGAGTGAGCTTTCGTTCCCCGGTATGCACAAGCAGAGTTGTGAAACCGTTTGAGAAGGTTGTGATGGAGCAACACTTTATCATTTATTTTATTTATTTCCTTTTTATACCACCCAATACCCAAGGCTCTTTGGGTGGATAACAAAGGTGAAAAACACACATGTGCAAAATTAGCATATGACAATAAACCCACAGCAATTTCAAGTGAATCAGCACAGAGGTCTAGCAGCAGTACAGGTTAAAATGCAATATTGAAACTGAAGTTAAAAAGGTAACTGTTAAAATACTGGGAAAATATAAAGGGATTCACCTGGTGCCAAAAAGAATACAGTGTGGGTGCCAGGCACACCTCTTTGCAAAGCTCATTCCGTAGCCATGATGCCACGGCTAGAAAGATGCCATGTCCTTCTCCCGGCAGCCACCTGCCTTACCTCCTTTGGAGGGACTCCCAGAGAAGGACACCCAAAGATGATCTCAGGCTCTGGGATGAAGTATGAAGATGGATGTTATGAGTACGAGGAGAGAGGAATAACCTGGCAGGGGATTGGAGCTGATGGGAAAATCACTGAGGGGCATTGGAGGAAAAAGAAATGGGAAAAGTGTGGTGGGAGAACACTAACCAAGGAGGCAGATTCCAGGGTGAAATCTGCCATTTCTCCAATTGGTTTGCTGAAACATTTGCCTCGACTCACCAGGGAAAGACAAGTTCTGCATGGAAAGATTTCTTGTGTGCAAGTTCCCAGCACAGTTTCTTCTCTGCAGTTGCTGGGATAGCATTGTCCTTGGTGTAGTTGAGGAGGAAAAGCAACTCAGCTGGCAGGATTAGCCGATAAGGTCTTCCTGCGGAAAACTTGGTTTGGATGTGCCCTACATGTTGGAGTCATTGTGGGAACGTTGCATAATTGTCTGTGACTCATTGTGGTACATGAGATTATTTTTAAAATCTAGTGCTGTGGTCACCTATAAATCAGACATATAACATCTTACTTTCTCTTGCTTACTTTTGGTGTCTTAAAGAGTTTCTTGACAGCTGAGATAACATGCACAGCTTGGAAACTCATGTTTTACCATTGATGTAGAATATTTGGTAACTATACTAGCACAGGCTGTCCTCTGAGTTGTTTGGACCATGGTTATATGGGTATAGTCCACTGTAACACATAGGTCTTGTTTGCAGTTAATGCTTAAACATGGTTTAGCTATAAGAAAGTGAACCTTGGACTGGTGTGCACTTCTTTCAGGCACACACCTACTGACTGCTACAGCTGGCCAACTTCTGCAGGTTCCATGAAAATGCTTTTAATAATTTGCTTTTGCAAGATGGAACTAGCAAAGAAAGCTGAATAGTGCATCCGTCCTGCAACATGTTACTCTATTATCCCTCCACAAAAGGAAAGAAATTAAAGAGCCCGGCTAAAACCATGCAGTGTGGTTAGAAGTTAGAGTTGCCAGTCACAAAACTATTTCTCCTCCATTTACATATTCCTTATATAAAGCACATGGAAAGAAATGTACCAGTTTTGAATCTTTAAGAATATCTTTATTCTTATGAATATCCATTTTCAGATTTGGGCTGCTTCAAAGGAACCTCAGTTAGAACCAGACATCACCCAAATCTGTCCAAATCAACCTGATTCAGTTCTGGTTTGGGCAAAACCTAAAACCTACTCCTTCAAGAGATGTTGTAAAACAAGATCAGCTCATGAAAATGTGTTTTCTGGTTCTCTGTTTTGTGAACAAGGGGGAATTGTACCTTCCAACCCTCAGTTCAGCTGAGATAATTCTAGAGATACATTAATATCTTGGAACGCTGTAATAAAAAGAAAGTAGAGCATTGTATTTGTAATCACAGCACTGAACTGGCTGCTGTAGATTACTGTGGGAAAAGGAATGCCTTGGACTCTGTAGTTCTGCTTGTGTTTTATCGTTTCTTAGTAAGTCAGTATACAATAAGGATGAATGAAGAGGCTATTACAAGAGGCCCTATCTAACTGAATGTTCATTTTCACGGATGAGCTTTTCTCGCTGGAATAGAGGAACACATTAAGGTCAAACAGTGTTGAAGAATAGCACATTTTTGTTTTCAAAAATGAGTTTCTCTGGCTTCTCTTCAGCGTTTGTCCTTCGTGCATTCCTCTTACTCCAAAGAGCAAAGCTACTCCATGAAACTAAACACTCTGTTAGACACAGTCCCTGATACGATAGCCTGGGTCCCATGCTTTCTGTGCTGAGGCGCTGTGCTTTCTTGCTTGCATAAGGTACTGCTACTTCCAAATAGGAAAGGGGAAGTCCCGGCCCTTGAGATGCTGTTGGACCCCAACTCTTATCATGCTTGACTATCAGCTAATGCGAACAGGGCCTGGTGGGTGTTGGAGTGCAGCAACATACCCTTCCTTCTAGAGCAAGCTGAAACATCTATAGATCTGGAAAGAGATAGTCTTAATTTTTTAAAACATGTTTTGCAGAATAATTGCTGTTTTTTGGCTAGTTTGGACAGGAAGAAAGTTCCCAGTTTCTAATGTTGTGTTGATGAGTTTAAACTTAGGAGTCTTGCTTGATTAAAGATACCTTACTTAGGGAAGCACATGCCTGTTAGTCAGTTTATCAATTTGTTAATCAACTTACATTTACACAGGCATAAATCCAAGAGTTATGATGGAAAAAAGGCACTGTTTTTAGCCTGTTAACAAGTAGTCATTTGCTAAAAATACAAGTAACTGTAGGACTGTTATCACATTTGTAGAGCTCTTAGGGTTAATCTGTGTGTGTGTGTGTGTGTGTGTGTTTGTCTGAAAGCAGAACGTCTGTGTGTCTTCTGTAAGGATGGAATGGAGCCAACTGGATTGGACTGAAATCTGACACCTTCCTCTGCCCGGACTCCTGTAGTCCACAGCTCGAAGCAATCTCTCCCCAGGCCAGCTTACTTTTGCAATCGGATACTTGCTGGGCAAAGAGGCAATTGCTTCAACCCGCGGGCTGTGAGAAGCAAGGTGGGGAGTAGCTGGATTTTGCTCCCAGTCCCTGATGTAGTAGCCAAACCAGCGTATGCTTTAAAACAAATCAGTGGAGAGAATTAGTGGAGTTGATTCAATGACTCAGGTTTGTAACAGGAAGTCCGAGGTTTACGTCTTGCCTCTACAATAAACCCACAAACTGGCCTTCAGCAAACCACCATCCCTCAACCTGCATCCCTTGTCTGCAGTCTGGAAGATGCCAAGAAGTCCATTTCTCTTTTGTGTTTTAGCAGCCCACGTATTTCCATCCTGTGAGGCCGAGCAAGCCTGTCCTCCTTTCTCAATCTATCTGGTTGCATTATCTCAGGCAGTTGCTGACTTCAAGGGCACACCAGAGCTCTCTGGGCTGACCAAGTTCAACAGACTGTAGATGAGATCTGTCTGCCCTTTGCTTCCAAAACAAGACTGGACAGGTTAGCTCATGAATCATGCATTTGTTTATTTATAGCCTGCCTTTTCCCTGCAAGGGACCCAAGGCAGCTGGCCTAATCCTCCTCCTTGCATTGCATCCTCACAGCAACCCTGTGAGGTAGGTTAAGCCAAGAATTGGTAACTGGCCCAAAGTCACCCAGTCAACATAATGGCGAAGTGGAGACTGG